GAAAGAAATAGGTAGCTATAGTACTACGGACAAGTATACCAAACAGTTAACTTCCCTACTTAGTAATATCACCAGTGACCCATATAATGGACAAGAATTTAAGACAGACTGAAGAAAGTACCAGGAAAATCTCATCATTGAAGGTCTAATCCGACCTGCAGGGAATGGTGTTAGGCTTTAAATATTAACAGTTGTATTGTCACGCATAGTAGAGGGTTTAGATGTTCTAAACCTTTTTCAGAATGCTGGAATACAGTAACAGAAAAAAAAAATATTTTATACTCCTAAAATAATTTTTACATTAAGAGTACCTTCTCAAGTAAGTGCTCGATGCACAGGATGATAAAGAAATATCAGTGTGAGCTTACTGTAATTCAGGGAAAAAAATCCTGTAAGTTAATGTTCAGTTGGACTATATGTTCACCACTTTGGATTTGAAATATTTAATGATGATCATCTTTCTGCCATACAACTATCACATGCATACTCTGAAATTACTGCCAATTTATACAGTTTTACTACTGAAATTTAGAAATTAAGTAATGTACGGGGATATAAAGCGAATGTTTCAATGCAATGATTCACCTTATTTTATAGCAAGGCCTCATTTTTGTGGCTCACAAAACAACGGTTCCTAAGACAGGATAGGCCACGTTTCTAAAGCAGCATATGAGAAGTGATTATATTCAATAACAGAGACACAGAGTCTTGAAAAATCACGGACCAACCCAACATTCTGTTAACATTAATTTTATAAAACACCTTACATGAACAGATAAAGAACTCGAGCTTACATAATAACCAAAATTTAAAAAGAATGTTGAATAAAATATAAATTAAATGAACACATCACTAAGTTTGCCACATGTTAGACAAGTTTATAAAAGGCATTTTCAGATAAAATAGTTATTTGAAAGAAAATCCTTCAAAATGGAAACTACTGAAGTCCTTTTCAAAAGAAGTCATTCCTAAAAGCGCTAAATTCCAGGTCAACAGGTAGTACCTGAATTTGCTTAGAATACGGTGATCATTTGCTTCAAAATTTGTCAAGCTTTAAGACACAAATTTAAATGGTTTCAGGTCAGAGCCATCAGTGCAAAGTAAAGCTTCAAGCTGAAAATAACAAATGTAACAGAAGAAATGATCCTGGTAGAAAACTTCCTAAATTCACATTATAAAAACAACTGTGCCAGATGCACTCTTGAGATACTGAACATTAACAAATTTTACCAGTGGCCATTTTAGGGTTCTGGCCAAGCCACTAACATGGCTAATCACATTAAATTCATTTATTTTATCACAATTTCAAATTTTTTTCTACTCATAGTCTTTGGAAAAGATCCATACTGCTGATGTCCATTTACTTTGCTCAACTTCTGATTCAGCCAATTTGCTTAGAATGCAGTAATTTAGCCAAAAGGAGATAAAAGGTGAGGCCAACAGACATCAGAATGATGGTCTAAAGCCTGCAATGACATTTAATTGGAAGAAATACGATAGCACATGTTTCCAAGTTTAACCAACTTTGTTCATTCAAGCACTCTCACTGAAGGCAGTCTTCCTTAAAGTTACATATGTGCATAACACACTGCCAGGCTCAAACCCGTAAGTCTTTCAAAGGTTAAAAATATATTTAGAGAACTATGTATTTAGAGAACTAGACTGCAGCCAGATTAATTTATTTTAAGCCTATTAATTCCTGCAGAGTAAACATCAACACTCTAGCAAAGCAATTTCGCTCTGTTTAACTTTAAAATTATTAACCAAAACAGGTTTGAAATAGTCTTCACATTCCACTATTTAGAAGTGTTATTAGCACACTCATTTAAAGATTAATGGAATTCTTTTCAAGTTACCACTCAGAATATTGCTCATCAAGCTTTTTCTAACACATACTAAAAAAAAAATAAGTGTCTGGCCACAAACAGAAAGGAGAAGAAAAAATTTAAAAACCTTGATCTAACAGGCAGCAGTTCCAGCCTCTAATTGAAATATAAGGCTGCAATTTATACTAAGCTGCTGCACAAAAATGAGAAAATGAGTTCTCCATTACAATTCAAAATTTCAAAACTCAATCTGCAGATTGTTTGCTCATCCTTCTGAACTGTTCTTTTTTCACTGTCATTATTGTTATGCTGGCAGTTATGCTAGAACCTCATTTAAGTAATTCCAGTACAACCAGAGTGTTTAATTTAATAGCACGAATAATTTTGAATTTATAGTTAGCTAAAACGCTAGAGTGACGCTGTAAACAAACCAAATGAATAAGAAGGTTCAAGACTACACAAAATTTTCCCCCAAAACAGAGGCAAGAGATTTACTTGAAATAAAAGCACAGAATATAACTTCAACCAAAACCTTTCAAAAACTGTACTCAAGGACTGAATGTTTAAAGGAAGCTGCAAATGCCCTTTTCCAGAACATAAACTCAGAATCATTTGCTTAAACCAAAACGGAACAGAAGCTCTTCCTTATACCCTGAATTCTCCTGATCATCTTTTATCACTGCAGCAGATTAATGATATCCATACTATGCTTTGTGATGCTACAAAATAATTTATTTAATTAGTTTTAAGAATAAGTTATTTGATGAAATGATGGACTTTGAGATATCACAATACTTTCCACTGGGTATTCCTAGTTATTTTGAATCCCGCAATTCAGCCATTTGCTGTCCTTAAAAGAATTTTTAAAACAAATGCATTGGCTGCTGAGATCTGATCCTGTAAGTGATGTAACTTTTACCACTTGCTCTGAGTGAAGGAGAACACTGACAGCTGAAAGGGAATAATAAATATATACTTCACACCCAGCTTAGTACACTGTGAAAATTCTCAGATACTGGTCACATCTCAAAATGTGAAAAATATTCTGACTACCACATGGTTTTATCTTTTCAATACTAATAAAAGCAAATAAGATTTCAAAGTTTCCTAAAAAAACAAGGAAGCAGCAATCTTAAGAATTATTCTGGAAATATCTGAACTCTTAACTTTGAGTGTACCAAGAACAGAGTTGTCTTCTCTCTCTCTTTTCTAAAATTGGGAAGATTTTTAATTTGGCTTGCATCAATTTGGGCTCAAAAATAAAACATCAAAACCTGGACTATCACTAACAAAGTAAAGCAAAAATGTATTTCCAACTAAGCAGTTGGAAAGTGAGTGACTGAATTTGGGTATTAAACACATATTTGAGAATAATAAAGTTTACAGAGGAGGAGGTTACTAAACAACTTTGCAAAAAATATTGCTACAGTAGCATTAGGAATTAACAGTGCATCAAAGATTTAAAGTTTCCATGTTAATAATACAAACTGATCCAAGCCACAATGAACCACAGGATAATCACTCAAACAAAAAATTAACCGCATTCTACTTTACAGAAGCTAGAATTGGAATTTACCTGAACATCATTAGTATGATTCAAAAAGATTCCTCTTAGTCTGGCATGCCTCAGTTTACACAGGTCACAGAGAACTGGTGCCATTAGTGTGTAATCAAAACGCAGTTATTATCATGTGCATTTGGCTTTTTTGAACACTTGCAATTAAATAATGAAATCTGAAAGAGCTTTTACATATTAGAACTCAGTATCACTGCTGCATGAAGTGTTTTATTTGTTGGTTGGGATTTTTTTGTGGAAACTGTGTATAAAAAGACTTTGAGGACTACAGGTCACGGAATTCATGTTAAACAGAAAGCTGTCCAACATTACTGTCAAAATACCTTTAAAAAGGCAGTTCATAGACAGAATATTGCATTTTACATTCAGATATTTCCTCTCTCAAAAGCAAAGGAATCTCAGAAGAAAAAATAAATCAGTAGTGAAGGCCACATACTTTTTGCATTTGATGAGCTGAAATGCAAAAACCAATTAAAGCATCTTGTAAGAGAAAAAAACAAAAACAAAACACACAGAGAACTTCTGGAAAGTGATGATTTAGTTGATGGGGTGGTCAGCATGGAAACTACTGGGAATGCTACAGCAGACCTGACCACAAGTACAAGGGAATATGAACAGGAACATAGTACAGGCACCAACTAGAAAACTGTAACTTGCCAACTTGTAAACAAGAAAAAGCATTTCACAGATTAAAAGTTCTAGGGAAGTAAACGTCCTTAAATTATTTTGTCAGTTCAACCCTGATTTAAAAAAGTATGGCTAGCAAAAATACATAAGCCTCAGCATATTTATAAGTCTTGATCAGAGCAGCCATGAGCCTTTGATAAACGGCTGGAAACAAACACCCTTTACTAAGGATGAAAGAAAAATAATCCATTCTCTTCTTTCTCTCATTCCCCAGTCCACACACGTATATGCAGAATTCACACGCTCCAAGAAAATCTTGATGCTGCTATAGATTGAGACGTGGGGAGACCGGTGGAGGAAAACAGACAAACTCTCTTAAAATACTACGGGCTACATCAACATTATTCTGGGCAATTTCAAGTGCCCTCTTGACTTCTTCAAAGGAATAGCCCTCTCCCATAAGTTTTGCAATTTTTGCGTCCACGTTTTCCATGGAACTGTCAGAGCTGTATGTTTTCCTGTGGTGTATTTCTGGTGCAGTCCTCCGAGGAAGCGGTTTGGGGGGCCTGGCTGGTGCTTGTGAACCATCTGTTTCAAAGGAGATAGAAATGATTATGAATTGGCTTAAAATTGTGTTATAGGTAGGTCAAGCCTCATGAAGCAGTTTAAAAAGTAAAGTTCTAATGAAACATGAAAGGATATTTTAATTCACTGATATATCTCATTTTAAAATTTGGATAGAAGCCGAATTCCACAAGAACATCCAAAATGGAAATAATGTCGTGAAATACTATGATAGGAATATGCAAGTTATAATCTGAATTATCCAAAGTTGGGACAAAAAGAAAGATGATGAAACAGCAAAGATGATGAAAATAACCAAACAACATTTTAAAGACTGTCCACTTCCAACCTACAGTTTGAGAACTTTTTCTTAGTCTGTTTTTTAAAAAAAAAAAAAATATTGATCACAATTTTATTCAGGATCGTAAGTTGTGCAGAAGAGGAATCCAGCCAAATATTCCTGAGGGAGAAAAATCCTTCACTTATTGGTACATCTTGCAGATTCTGTTCAATTGCAGTTTATTTCATGCATAGCAGCTACACATAAGTACAGAAATAACTGGTTTCTCAAAAGAACCTCTAGTCCAATTATTTTCAGTGGTGAGAACAGAACACGATCCTTCCTCTCCAGTCCCCCTTTGGAAATATCTCCCTTTTCCTTCTCTTCTATGGAAAGGTTACCTTCACAGTTAATACTGGTGCTAAGAATCATGATGTGCTGATGAAAAAAGCTAATATTCAAACTTGCTAATCTTCTCCGAGTCAAGAGTTTCATGCTCAGGTAAACTTGGTACTTTACTGAAACCTCTTTATCCTCACTGATTCCACAATAAGAAGGTTAAATACAAGCAGGCATAGAGCAGAAAACACTTTCAAGAGCAAAGTATTATAAAAAAAAGAAATCTTCAATCCTTCAAAAAGGGTTCTAAAAAGTTCCATCAACAGGGACTTTGATAGATAGATCAGAGGAATTTCTGTCTGTGTTTACTTACACTGACAGCAATGACATTTTGCAGCGTTAAGTACCTCAGAGAGAGTTTTTTAGTGATGAAAGAATGTTGTATTTCCAGTATTGCTGTTACAACATGCTACCTTATCATAACACTGGATAGAGAGAACTGTAATTCAACTGAGTGCATTAAACACTTCAGATGAATGAAAACAGTTCACATCAGTGAACGTCTAACCAAGGTGTATTTTTCTCTCAACCTTAGTTTCCATGCATTCAGATGAGAGTGTTACTATAAACGTTAATTTCATTTCTTAAATCAGAGAAGATAAGTAAAAAGTACTTTTAGCAAGATGGTGATACTCAGATAACAAATGGATGAGAGCAATTTGATTAAAAATTTACAGTAAAGTGCTAAGATTAATTTTGTTCTAATTTAATTGCCTATTTTCCTTGCAGATAGTTATGAGACAACCTACAGATAGTAAGGGCTATTTCGTATTTGTTACAATTTTTTTCTCTCTGAAGGTGAAAAGAATTCCATAAACGCTAAACATTCTAGTAAACACACCTGCAGCATATTCAAACCTGCTCTGAAGGTGTGGAAGAACCATGAAACACACCGGTTTGACAAATTAACTATATAGCTCAGGAAATGCGGTTAATCACTAAAAACCAAATCAGAAACAAGTTCAAATTTCTCACTTCACTTATTTTAGAAAACTCAAAACTATAACAGAATAATATTATTTAAATTTAAAATAATAGTGTATCATGTTAGAATCAGTTTTCTTTCACAAACATTTCAAACTGTTTCAATATGCAATTTCATTATGGACTTCATTTCTATAGAGGACGAAACAAAATTAATTTGCAAACTTTACATTTTCCCCTGGGCTTGGAGTACAGAAAAAACTCGTTATGCATAGATCAGATCCTTGTGCCTGTGTTACATGAGATATTTTTTGCTCTACTCAGTCTAATACAGGCTTAAAACTGAAGTTGTTTCTTATTTAAAACCTTCCCTTTGCTGCAGCTTCCAAACAAACTTCACTAAGCAATCACATCATTTATAAAGGTCATTTTTAATTCTGTCAGCAGATTTGCAGCATAGGCATTTTATTCTGACTTCAGTGACATCTCTCTATAGCACAGATACTTTAAGATCTTCAGCCCTCTAACTCAATTCCCATTATTATTTTTTTAAGCACTGACATCTCTTTCAATATCTTCACATCCATATAAAATTTTAGCTGAAGCTGGGTATCACATTGGATCCAGAGCTTAAAGATACTAAGCCTAAGCTGCATGTCCATCTGGACACTAAGATAGAGGTATTTAAGCAGGACTTTCCTTCCCAATCTCCCATCCTCTCTGATGTTTCAGCCACTGTGCATGCCTAACTAAAAATTCAAATAGATTTTCTAATTGTGTAATTCAATTAACAGTTTCTATAGCAAGGATCTTCCTCCATCACTCACATTTCTGTAATTCAGCACTAGATTTAACCCTTAGGTAACAGCTTAGTATAAAGGCAGACACAGGCTCATTTAGTAAGTGTTTAAAAAGTGCAGAAAAATTTGTAAGGTGAGAGCTCTGTGGCACAGTGGGAAGAGGGTATTTGTAATGATGCCAACTGTCTCTTCCTCTCTGCTGTGAAATGGCCCTCTGCTTTTCTTCCCTCGCCACGGTCCGTCACCGACAGACCGAGAAGCATCAGAGAAGCAGGTGACAAAGGGTTCTTGTGCGAGGCCCTCCGTGGAGCAGTGGGAAGCAGCTACATCCAACCTAACTGGGGTATGGGAACAAAGCATACCCAGGGGACATCTATACGAAGGAACTGAGAGAGCAGGGAGAAAGTGAGAAAAGACATATTGGTCCATCAAGCTCTTAGGTACGATCTTCATATTTTGCATTACTGTGGCACATTATTCCCCCTAGGATTAATTGAAATCCACCCTGAAATAATACGGGATGCCTTCCTCCTAACATTTCCATGTAAAGGAATTTAAATTTGCAAGCAAGTGCTTTAATAAGGCCAGGTGAATGAACAGGCAGTAGACAAAGATACTTAACTAGCCATTTGAATTAATTTCTTACAGAATAGCTACACTCAATAAAATACAGCAGACATCTATATTAGAAGCCTAATTTTCTCTTATCTTTCCCATGTATCATTGACTGTATTTAGGTAAAATATGCTAATTAATAGCAGTATCTCCTTCTCTTGCTTTTATTGTAATAATTTTTTAAAAGTTATATTTAAGAAGTTTGAAAAACCATGCCTTTGGGATAGTTAGGTGCATAGTTGAGAACTATTTCTTAAGTGTTCAATACTGAATATGTTGCTGCATTAGAATAAATTTCTCATTACATGTTAACGATTCAGTTAAACATCACGACAGCAATCTTAAAAACAGTCAAACTGAAGCACAGAATTTAAAGGACTCCCCATGCCACTCTAGGGAGCCAGTGGCTAAATTATAATTAGATTTTAGAGAGAACATTTCTTTTCCAGCTAGTTCAAAGAATCGCCATACAAAAGGGCTAAAATGAAGAATCTCCTAAGTGAACTGATTAGTTCAGAATAAATGCAAAAACAAAAGTTCTGAATGCAGTTACACTCTCTACATTGTCTTTTAAAATCATAGATGAAGGTGAATCAGTTCATCCTGAAGCTCATCAGTTCTGTTCCACAGAATTACTGCCACTGTAAAAACAACTTTCCAATTAAGAGTATGACATGATCTATCACATAGTTTTCATTTAATTGAAACTAAATTTAATATCTTGCTGCACATCATGCTGATTTAGAATAATATTTATAGCAAAGGTTGACACCTGTGGGTGTTTCAGAAGATGGCTGTGGGAAACATACAGGTAGAAAAGTATTTATTAAGTGACACGAGAAAGCTCCAAGGTCTTAAGTAGCAAGCATCTTGCAGTGATTTAGGAAAATTAAAAATTGTTCTACCACAGAATTGCAAGAAATGCAGGAAAACTCCGTAGCTTTAAAAAGTAGTTATATCATTGTTATAATTTGTATTACAAAAGAATTTAAAATGCCCTAAATACATCAGGTTAACATTGTGAGACAAATAGATTCCTAAGTGTCACATATAAAACATGCATTATAAAACTTTTTTTTTTCCTAACAGTGGGGAAAAAAAAGAGAAACACTGTTATATTAGTAGAGGTATCCTCTCAAAACTGCTACTATTTACCAAAGGCATCACACTAATTCTCAAATATGCTATTCATAAAAAATCCTGTAGCACTCTTCAGGCTTACTTAATTTCCCCTGTACTTTAAGTTGGAAAAATATATTCTTTCTTTCCTATAACCCATCAGAGTGGGACTACATATTTGTGAGAAGGAGACATATAATTACTATTAAAAAACCCATCATTTTCCCACTTGTGACTGTTGCAATTAAACACTGATGATCAGTACAACTGAAAGACTAGAGAAGTCCCTTTCTTTTGTTATGCATTAGAAAACAGTTTTCACGCACAATTCTCTCTTATCTGGATAATGAATAATGGTTCAAAGCATCACTTGGCTCTTTGTTTGTGTGGTCTCTCAACACAGCAAAATGATGTAGGTGGCACAATCCTCCCCCTTCCCCAGACACCATGCACATCTAAAGAAAAGAAAATTGGTCTAAAAATTGGTAAAAGTACTTTGAAATACAGGTAATACTGGTAGTGTTATTATTTTAATTATTTTGAGTAGCTTTCCTTTAAATACTATTCATGTTACCTGAAAACCATAAGCAAAATTTCTAAGGCAGAGGAATTGCTTCTATTGTACCTGTTCCACTGCAAATTCTAATTGGGTTTGGTTCTTAGTGTTTTATTAAAAAACATATAAAAATTTTCTTAGAAGTTCAGACAAGCATTAGCAAAAACGACCAGAAAATAATAATATTTTAGAATACGAAGCTTTTGGTTGGTTTGTTTGGTTTGGTTTTTTTGAGGTTTTTTTTAGGAGCAATGAAACAAAGATGGAACTGAGGTGTATGGTCCCTGCAGGACTTCTGACCTCTTGTGAGCTTTAACGGTGGCAGAAAAATCTGTGCCTTTCTCAAAAAAGAAGGAGTACTAGAACTCACATAGCAATCAGTTTGGCAGCTATTGAAATTGATGCTGTAATATCTACATCTACAGACAACAGGTTGCCACTTCCACCTTTACTGCAGAACTTTAATCTCTATTATCCTTCGACGATTTCATATTTTTGTAAAGCAGTATTACCATTCCCGTTTGTTGCCCGGAATGACAAAAATCTCATTGGACTTTATGGATGAAAGTTATTTGCTTCATAAAGTTCTAACTTTCTACAAGAACAGTTTTCTACCTTACCTGAAGAGGGAGGAAGTTGATCATAGTCTTGAGATGTCCTGTTTGTTTTGACATTTTCTCCAGTTACTCTACGAGCAGGTGGCAAAGGAACATGACCAGTTGTTGGATCAAAATGGGGATCTGTAATAACAGAAAAAAAAAAAAGGTGTTTTAGAGTAATTAAAATTATTATTTGGGGGAGGGTTGATGCATAGAAGCTAGGCTTAAAATAGCTTTCCTTTAGACAGAGGAGCCAGGAATCCAAACAGAGGTGTCCCCCACAGAGCATGTGCGTATGCACGTATACATCCAGATTCAACACTTGCATAGTAGACCTGTAACTATGTCTTGATGCGACAAAAACAAGAGCACAGCTCAAAGGCGGTCTGTCCGGCACTGACCACAGCTCTTCTGTTTACACCCATGAGGCAGGCACCTTTCAATTATCCAACCGTGACACTGCTAGGATTGTGGCTGGCAAAGCATGGCAGAGGTTGCAAAGCCTGAAGCAGCACAATTAGAAATATTCCAGCTATTCAGTTTGGTTAGAGCTTCATAATGCTTCGGTGCTTTGCAGTTCACGAAGACTGCAGGGCAGATTTCCTATTCATACAGTCCCAACTACGGGTAAATGTTACAGGGACTGGTAAAGGCTGTGACTAGGCTTTTCAGTTGTCATTGCTGATTACAGGAACAGAATTTAAAAAATGAGAGAAATATATAGTACTGGCATATTGTCTCCTTTTTTTGTTTTTTGTTTTTTTTTTTTTGTTTTTTTGGCTACTGAAGATGCAGCTGAGCAAGTGTTAACATCATCCTGGACCTGGCTTCTGCTCTGGACTCGTAAGAGTGTTTGTATGCAAGTGCAACTTCTTGCTGTTGCTGATGATGAGATTATTATTCTAATCTGACAGGCTCTGATGGATAGCTGAGAAATCACCCCCAAGACTTGTATGGAAACCAATCATCAAAAACTCATCATAAATCATCTGCAGCAGTTTATTTGACAAGATGCAAAGTGAGTAATATGGCTTTAGAAATACCATATGAATAAAAAAAGACCAATCCACACAACCATGCATGCCTAAATAGTTGTACACACTTCTAAGATTAATGAAAACTGCTGCTGTAAGATTGTATTCACTATGCAAATATGAAGAACAATACATGGCCATAGATACATTTTCCAGATTTTTAATTAAAAGCTATTAAATGATTTTTAACACTATCAGTGATGTTTCTTAGCTTATTTGGAAATAACACTTAATAATTTAAAACTCTGTATGATTCTGGGAACTGCACACAGGTAAGACGGAGCTTGTGTATGTCTGTGCTTGAGAGTTCCTATTTTTCCTCTCCATTCCCATTAGAACTGAACGATGCAGTGTGTTTTTCTGCATCAGATGATACAATTGAGGCCACTCATACAGACTGGACTGCTGAAGATTACGTTATTTTTATTTTGAAGTGAAGAAGATAAATTAATTCCTGGCCCTGTATTTATGAAGATCAACCTTTACATCCTGTAACGTGTATGTCTTTTTACCTGGATGTATTCGGAGGCTTATATGACAAAATAACACATCGAGTTGAATTGGCACTATAAAATATATGCAGTTTTGGCAAATTATTCAATGTTAGGCCTTCACCAGTGGCAAAAAATACATAATAAAAACACTCCATAAAAGGTCACTCCAGTTCAACTAGCTCACTTTCATCCCACAGATCCTGTGATGCTATTGCCAAAACATTTCAACTTATCCCTCTCCACACAGCTTCTAAAAAAACAGATAGGAAGACATCTAACCATGCCGCAAGATAGATAATCACTGAAAATATTCCTGGCACAAGTAAACTGGAGACACCAACATCCTTTAGAAGCTTCCACAGAGCAAAAAAAAAAGTCACTTCACAGGTATGCACTATAACCCACAACAATCCTGTTGGAATCTGTATCATCATCAGCAAACATATTCAACTTAATTAACCTGACAACCAAACACTTTTCAACTAAAAGACAAAAACTGTAGATTGTGAACATAGCTTTTATACCTTTTACAAGCAAAATATCAGACTGAAAAAGTGCCACAGTGATTCATGGGGAGAGATAGGTGAAAACTTGACTTATGAAAAAGGTTATGAACCACAGGCATCTGCAACTGTGTTCACAATGAATATAGCTTTGCAGCAAAATTTAGTGACAGTTCTAACAAAACAGAATGCTCTTTTCCGTTATTTTCTAGTTTTTCCCCAAGTTCCAACTTGAACATAAACCCCATGAGTTATGTTTTACTATAGAAAACAATGGAGTTAACAGAAGGATAGACTAGTATCACAGATTACAACAGAAAACTCGGCACTTCACAAGTAACAACTCTTACTAGAAAAGTACAATTTACTAAAATGTCTAGCCTGGTATAGAAATATCAACCTTATTTCACTACTTAGTGATAACGACAAGTTAAATCTTTTTATATTCTGAGTTGTTTCATCTCCTCCCTTAAAAAAACTTCTATTTTTTAATATTTTGTATAATGAAGTATAGACAAAACAGACTTCTGAAGCCTGATGACAACTTTATCACAGAACAGGTAAGCTTCTGAAGTGAAGGAAAATGAAATAAAATACAATGTTTCCTTTGTATTCCTACCAGAATGAAGGAACAGTTCATGTCCTGAAGGAGGTCGGCTTCCTGAGCCAGCAGGTTTTGTGTGCTCAATCATGCTGTGCCGAGCAGGTGGTGGTGGTGGTGGTAGTGAAGGCGGTGAGTTATCAAATGCATCTTCGCCTGCATTTTAGAAAAGAATTATTAGATGAGGAAAACTTCATTAAGGACTGTAGAATAAAGAGTGAAGCTTAAAACTTGTTTTTCTCGGGCTGCTGAGAGTCCTAGGGTTCATCTGGCAGTTCAGTGACTCCAGAGAGGAAATTGTAAACCTGACTCTTACTATGTACAATCCTCTTCTAAAATATGCTCTGAATGGCCTTTTGCAGTGCTCCGTTTCTTTTCTGGGATGGGGGGAGAGGTTTCTTTCAGTGGCTCAAGTGCAAAGAAGGTATTATAATGAAAGCTTCACTGAATATCACTGTAGAATAACAGCTATGTTTCAGTGGCTAAGCAAGTACATTTATATTCAAACCCCAATGCTGACTACATTGAATCTGCTACATTTATACTGTGTATTATCTTTAACTGCTGTTCTAAAGCTCTGACCCCACATATAAACTCAATTTTCTACAGCTTGGCAAAAGAATGTACCCTTTACATAAAGGTGGTGCAGACAGGACTAGGGTTACCAAGTAGCGTGATTTTTATGTGTTGTTCTGCCTTCAATTCTATGTACTCTCACAACTCAGGAACACTTCAGGGACTGGAGAGAGTATAGTACAGGAACATGGCAAATGTTCAAAAGGTTTTATGGAACCAGAAAACTGGATGATGACACATAGAGATAAACACAATCAGGCAGCTGAGTTTTTCAATGAAGGTGTGGGTGGTAGCCAAGCACAGCTTCAGTATATATGTAAGAGCTCACTGCCTCTTGTGTAGAACAGAACAGAAATCAGGGTCGAAAAAGAGAGCTTTTGGTGACCACAGGCAGCAGTGAGTTTTGAACTGTCCCTCGATAGTGGAAAAAACCCAGAAATAAACTTATTAATTTAATTTAGTTTTCTTTGACTTAAATACCACCTCTTTGGGATTCTTCTTTGTATTTGATAAAAGAAATTGAATTATTTAAGCTACAATAGGAAAGCCCTCCACTCTTGCATTAAATTGCAATGCTCAAACTTCATATTAAGGGAGAAAAAATTACAATGTATTTTAGGGAAAATGGTTTTGCTTTTCTTTATAGCTTGAACACAGATTTAGTATGCCTTTTCATCTGGCTTGCATGAGGGCTTACAGACAGATATCAAGTACAGATCACTGATACAAATATTGACTTACAGCTGTAAGATTTAGCCCATAGCTTGTCTGGTACTCTTAATATACTCAACATTGGTCGTTTTTCAATAAACATGGCATTTGGTTCATCTAGGCAATGTTAACCATTAAATGTAATCAGCAAAAAGTCTGCAACCTAAAGGGGGCACCAGAAGATCATAATCGGAGGGTGTCCTGTTGAGCAAAGAGCTGTGTTTTGGGTTGTCTCTGGTAGGAGGTCGTGCAGGTGGCAAAGGTACCGGAACAGTAGGTGCATCATAGACATCTCCTGAATGACACAATCACAAGAAGTGAATGTTTTCTTGCTGTATCCCTAGAACAGCACAGAGTAAATTTTCTTGTTAAATAGTGAAAAATAAAAACATACCTAACTCTGGATGCTTTGATTTCTTCATCTCAGAAGTAGTACTGTGTGTTCCATTCGTTACTCCAGCACATTGACCATTCTCACACACCCTGAAGACAGACATTAAACAGGAAGCAATCAACCAGTTATCCAAGTATTAATTCCCAGAATGACCAAGCACCTAGGCTGGCAGTTCATTATATGGAAACGAATGAAAGACGATAGGCTGCATAAATTTTAACATTTATGGTTTTTTACATTGAGAGCAGATACTGGTGAAGCATCAGTAAAACTGCTTTGAAGGATTATACTGCTTTCTTGGTGGGATACTGACGTAACTTAAATAACTTACTCAAGGCTGCAATACAAGATAGAGGAAGAACTAACATTAAACATAGTCCTCACTCCAGAGCTCAGATCATTAGTTTATTCACTCAGTTGTCACAGTCTCAATCCTATTTCACCTTCCCAGCTGTTGAATTTTCTCTAGCAGAAATATGATAGAGAGAAACGTGGATTTTGGTAATTATCTACACTGAAGTACACAGAAAAGTCATTAAATAAAACAAAACAACAAAAAACCCAAATAGAACACCACAACACACCACTAGCAATAACAAATTTCAACTAAAGTCTTAGCCAAACACTAAAAAAAAAAAAAAAAAAAAAATATTCAACTACCCAAAGCAGTTTTGCAGGCACCTATTCATGTCTGTGTCAAAAAGCTGAGTCTCGCTGATACTTCTACCACAGTTTACTGATTTTTTTAAATGGAAGCATATTACACCCCCAAAATTCAACAACAGTATCAAATTAAATATGAAAATCATCTAAACCAAACAGTACAAAGTTGCCTATAATCTTGTCAGAAAAATACTGGGGATTGTTTTTGTAAGATGACTCTGTTCAAATATGGCAGGGAAAAACACAAAACAAAAGCCTTTTCATAATATTAAATACTGTTTAAATAAATGTGAAAGAACTGGGAAATTACCCCTGTCATTGGAACTGTGGACCCTGAATACTCAGAAAGAACCAGAGAGTTTCTTTGGAAAAAGGCCACCACGCTAAGCAATTCCAGCTTAAAAATAAAAATCTCAACCCATCATGCACCATTATTACTAAATACTGGCAAATCTGCTAGAGCTAAAATTTCAGATCTCAGGTTTCTACTAATAGTATGAACATTAATAAACCTATCAGCTTTGGCCATATGGAAAGGAGGAATGAATAAAGGTCTGGAATCACTTATAAACAGGAATCACATATAAACAGGAAAGAGGAAGTGAAATTGTGTTTGTGGTCCCAAGAGTTATAACTAGGAGTAATGAAATAAACGTAAGAATAATTACAAGACTTAAAAAACGAAACAAAACAAAAAAACTAACTGTAAGAGCTATTTTGTTATGAATTAATTTCCCCAGGGAAGTGGTAGAGGAAGTGTTGCTTCTATCTTTGAAATTAGACTGGTTCAATCTCACAAATGCTGTAGATGTAACACTTCCTTTGACTCCTCAGCATATATACTAAGTGACTAAGAATATTTTCTACTTTAATTTGAATCTATTCTGCATTTTCAACAATCTAACCAGCCACAGGTAGCAAGATAACAACATGGAACCACCTCAGAAGTATTGAGGTCATAATGAGCCCCGTTAATTGATCAGTTTACACATCACGCTGAAATACCTGTTTACATCAACAGTAAAGGACAGAAAGAAGGGCAGCAAATGACGGCCAGCAAGCAAGCCCTCTATCCTTCTCATTTCCTTTTGGAAAAAGATTTATTAGGAAAAGGTAGTGAACGTAATAATGTATTATTCTTCTAACAGTAGCCTAGTTAGTAATGCTGAAATTCTTTCCCTCCATTTCTTATTGCTGAACTTGTCCTATACCTGGGAAGAGATGATCACCTGCTACAAACCAATTAACTGATCTACCAGAAAATAAGACTGTGAATCTTTTTTTGCATTATTCTTGTAATATTTTTAGCAGTGTGGTATCTACTGGTCCTAAAGGAAATACAAATTTGGGGGCAGGACAGAAGAATTACATAATACCTAAATTACAAAACACCAAGAAGAAATTTTGTAGGCTCTTTAGTTTACTGAAAACTCTAAGTACTATTCAAGAACTGAGGAAGCAATGCTCAGGAAAGAGACAGAGAAGGTGACACTGGGGGACAGAATTGCAAGGTGCTAAAAATCTATGACAAAAAAAAAATTGTTGTTAACAGTTTTGCTAAACAACATTGAAAAGTTAAGCTTTTATTGACACTCCCCTCCCCATGAGATTAAAAGAAGTGCATTGAAAGAACACAGCATCAACCAGAATCAAGATTCTTTTTGAAAGCTTTAGCTCAGCTTTCATATCTAAGAAGTGACATTAGCTAAAAGAAGACATTTTAAGTATATATATTCATACACAAATTTTCAATAGCATTTTCTTTTTTTTTTTTAATGCTTAGAAGAACGGTTTGTTTTGAATTAAAATTCTCATCAGAATATATAATAAGAAGAGTTGGTGGTTTTAATCATAGAGCAACCTGAATGGCAAACTGAGGTATTTTCTCTGTAGCAAGTCCTGGATTAATGCCAAAAAAGCTCACCATAAGCACAAAGTATGCTACCTAAAAAATAAACTAGGAAAAAGTTTGAAAACTGCTTTCCGTCTACAGCCTCTATTAATAATTCTAATAGCCTGGTGAAATCCTGTACCAGCCAATTGAAAGCACTCAACTCTTTTTTCTCCAAAGAAGGAAACCAGAAAATGAGAAGTTTCTAGTTTTCCAGCCGGTTATTTTCTCAAGAAACTTTCAGGGTGCATCTAGATACTAGCAGTTCAGTTCAGGTCAGGAGTATGAATTGAAACAAACCTCCACAAGTCATCCCCACTTACAGCACTTTGGTTTACATCGCAGAGAAGTTCCAGAGCATGCAAACTCAATTGCTTCTGGATGAGGTTAACTCAAAAGATGTCCTGCAGGAGCTCATCCAATGTGCTGCAATTACTAAAGAGTACTCCAGCCACAGGACCATGTTAAGGCTAGTCTGAATCCAAAACTTACCAAAACACAACAGCGTGGATGTGGGGTCCCTGGAGTCAATTGGTCCCCTCTACAGACTCACTCCTATTGTACCACACTACTTGCTAACCAAGACATAGCCCTCAGAAGCTGCTAAGCCAAGGTAATCTGTTCACAGGCTGCTCTCTCCTGTTGCAGACATCTTGTCTAAGGAAGGTTACATCCTGTATAACTGTAGTCATGCAAGCAACTCAGCCTCTATTAGATGACTTTGCATGGCACAGAAAGACATTCCCATCCAGAAGAACAACACAGATAAAAAAATGGCATAAGTAAAAAGGATTAGGACCTTGGATTTTTTAATTTTTCTTCCCATTTTTCTGCTTAGCCAACACTGAGAGTTTTATTCATCATTGATTTTTATTATTTA